CGAATGGTGTCGCCATCTATCGTGTTGTCCCGAGCAAAATCGTACTGGCACCTTCATGGGGGCTCTAAGCTTAGGCTAACAACAGGCGTAAAATTCTAGCCCTTAACCGCGATGAATTTCGTGGACCTTGATCTGATGTTACAGTCGATCAGGTGGCATAAGCAACATGAATAATTGATAGTTTAAAAAACTAAAAACACCCGCTTTTACTGTACATCGAAACGAAAAATGAATTACAGTTTAAAAAAGAATTCTAAATATAAGAATAAAGTAATAAAGTAATAAACTGGAAAATTAATGTCATTGTAGTCAAAGCGTGGGATGCTTTGTACTATATTTTTGCACTAACTCTGTATTTCATAATAGAACTAGTAAGAGATTGTAACAATTGATATAGAGCACCCCACGCTTTGACCACAATGACATTAATTTTCTCGTCAATCATTTTATTCTTTTATTAAGAATTATTTTTCCATTTTGATTCGATTAAATATAAAGACGTATTTTTTAACTTTTTAGTTTTTATTTAATTATAATTTATTTGAGAAAAACTTCTCACCCTTTTTAAATTTAATCTTAATTTTTTATTTATTCCTGAATTTTTTGACATTTATTTTCCTTTCCCTTTTTTTCCCCTTATAAATTTTATATTATTTGATTCATGATTGTTTATTTCAAACAATTTTTTTATTTAAAATTATTTATTTACTTAATTAAAAGTATCCTATATAAGCATGTTTTTAACACATGCCATTTTTTTCACGGTTTTCATCTGTAGGATCTGTTTTTTACAGCTTATTCAAAATAATTTTACTAAATAATAAGCATTCCATCAAAAGCATTCCACTACATATTAATGTATGATAATTCCATCATTTATTTATAATTAATATACTATAAATAAATGATGGAAAATAAAAGGCATCCATTAATAAATATACTGAAAAAAATATCTACAACAATCGATGTGAAATTCAGCGTGAATTTAATCTAAAACGGAATATCCGTTTCCAACTTATTAACTGGAACCCATTTTTGTAATAATCAATGAAAGTGAAAGTGAAAGCGAAAGCAGCAATACAAAAAATCCGAATGAGAAAGAGTCAAACATAAGCGTGTTTATGTAAAGAAATTGGAGTAAACATGTTTTATTAATCAACAATGTGTGAAGAAAATAATCAAAGAAATAAAAAGAACCTAGGAGTTAAAAATAAACCAGCACTGATAAAAATTTTAATCGCAGTTATGAAGAATTGTATTCAATTTCTTATTTCTCTCTTTCTGAAGAGCTATTTTGGAAAACATCACCAACACATTAAATTCTAATTCTATATATTAATAATTTCTTTTTATAAATTACCATAATATAATTAATGGAATTTTTATAATAACTTACTAAAATAATTACGATATTTAGGTTGAATTTAGTTATATTCATGCTAATTATTACCTTCCACCTTATTACAGTCATTTAATATTTTGCATAGTTTAATTTATCATTAATTAACTTTCAAACATTAGTTAATATCAATAAAATGTGAAGTTTATTGTTTTGTGCAGAGATCACTGCTACTGTAGTATGCATACTAATTATAATATGCAATTTAATATTCGCTATATTGTATTATGAGGTCCACACAGAAAAAATAAAATGCCGCTTTTGAAAAAAAGTCTGAATAAAAAAAGAATTCAGAACCTTGTACTTTTTCGCTATCACAATGCCAATAATTTATTATCTATATAAATAATTGGGATTTTTTTTTCCTTTTATAATAAATTTCCTGTTTCAAATATAAAAACATGACCACTCATTTTGCGGGTGTCAAAATATCTCGTATTCACCCCTTACGCGCAATCTTAGCAATGCTGATAAAATAAACTTAAAAACTGCCTAACTTTTTTACATTATACTTGAGATGTTGTTAGACAGAATAATTAATATTTCTTATGCTTTTTAGTTTTAGATACATGCGATAAAGGTCTTTAAGCAAATCATGATCTTGTTGTAATATGTTTGTTGGGAATGGTCAATGACTAAATTATCAAAGCTGGGGCAAATCGACTGGGTTATTGGGGTACGAGAGCACACAAAAAATCTACTTCAATTTTAGAGATTATCGGAAATTATTAATGAGAAGTTCTGTCCTTTTTATATCAAGAGACGACAGCTACAAGTATAAGTATATTTTTCAATACAATAGAATTCTTAATGCTAGGACTTAGATATCAATAATTAATATAATTATATATAAACAGTATATATATTTATACATCAAGAAATATCCAGAGAAGAAGTGGGTAACGGCTAGTTAAGTCTAAAGCCTCTAGTTCAGGGGTGGGCAGTCTTTTCCATGGGGCGGGCTACTTCTAATTTTTTCAAGGAGTTGCGCCTCACCCAGTGTCAGTGGCGCACACAAGGGGAGGGGTCCACGGATCCGGACCCTCCTTATAACACTTCATTTTTTCCCGATTCATTATAGTCCCATGTATATTGTATGTAAAATGTAATTTTAAGCATTTGATATTAGTAATTTTTTTATATTTATTAATGTTAATTATTTATTCAGTAATTTATTTTTTGCTGTTTTTTGTTCCCGACAATCGCCAAAATTATAAAAAATATGTTTGGCTGCGTGTTGGGGTATGATACGAGAATGGCAGATCTTCAACTCTTGACCATCTTCCCTTTAAAAATTCTAGTGTACGCTACTGCCTAATGTCGTTGGTGTGGTGAGGTAAGCAAAAGGATATTTTTTATATCTTAATAATAATAAGTACCCGGGATATGTAATTATATAAATAGACCTACAGAACTAAAATAAAAAAAACACTTTAAAAACCGCGTTTAAAGCAAAACGCAGGATACAAACTTAATAATAATAGCCCCAAATATAGCTATATCAAATAATATATTTATTATGAAACAATTCAAAATACATAAAAAAAATAAAACATTTTTATCTATAGTTAGTTCTTGTTGTTATAATCAGTAGAAGGCTTAGTCAGGCCATCTTGAATTTTCGTATATAATTACTAACTCCTAAAATTTTTAGGCTGTCACCCTAAAATGTCTTGGCGGTCCACTGGTAGATCGCGATCGACGTAATGCCCACCCTGGCTCTAGTTAATATGAATTTGTGCTATTATCGTGTAATTTATTACCACCAGTTTTAAGGTATCCGAACACGTTTGGAGTACTTTTTAACAAAATAGCATACTAAAACATTATAAATTCTCTTTTAGGACTCAATGTCAATAAATATTACTATTTAGTATCAAAATTTAAAATAAATTACCTGAATTTTATAAAAATCACAATTATAAGTGAAATTTTAGCAATATTATTGAAAAATTTGAAGGCAGTTCGAGAAAAAAGTAATAAACATATATTAGTAAAAGTATTACTAAAACAAACTAGATGCATTTATCTAGAAAATGTACTAAAATTTTAACTTTTTATTAAAATTTGAAATTTTTAGACCTTATTGAGTAAACATTATAAGAAATGTTAAATTTTTTATGAGACCATTATTTAAATAACAAGCGATAACTCAAAAAGTATTCATACAATAAGAAATATTTTAGTACATTCTCTGGAAAATAACATAAATATCAGGTTCAAAAAGTTTTATAGAAATACATTCGTAATATTTTGAGTTATCAGACTCGCCATCATAGATTTTGAGCAATTTAAATTCCCACTTCTGGTAGATCAAAAACCCACTTCCGGTTTTTCTAAATTTATAAAATTGATTGTAACTTGGCCTCTAGGTAGTGTAGAAACAAAACAAAGTATGTTTCGTAAAGTCAAAAGATAGCTCTATTCAATAAAATAAAAAACAAAAATATCAGTCTTGACTGAATTTGATCATTTTCAACGTGTTCGGATACCTTAAATTATTCGTCAAAAACATATTTTTTGCTTGTCTTATTTAATTACCTAAGTTCATAATTTCTATGCGTTTTTCTGGTCCCAATTTTCGCTTAAATTTCTGTAACATTTTATCTTCCTAATAAAAAAGGAACAGCAAGTTCATGTAATGTAATCTCAAACAAAGATCGCAGTAGAGTGGCCTACAGTAGTGGATGACTCACATGAAGTGCGTTTGAGCTTCCAAGTCCTGATGTTTGCGCGGGGTGGATATGAATAAGCAAGGGTGTGGCAGCTTAAATGTTAATCTCGTTATCTGTACATTGTTTCACTGATAAAAAAAAGTATTCGTTATCGTTATCTGACCTCTGATTAGGGAAGAAACAAAACATTGAAAACAAGTCAACAAACTCGTTGTATTTATATTTACGATATATTATGTGAGTTTTTGATGACTTATTTAGGAAGATGTTTACTTTTAGTTCCGTTTTCTTTAGCATTTCTTGCATATTATATCAAAATACAAACAATTGACTCTCGAGGTAGATGTCTTAGAACGATAAATATCAAATGTGTATGAGTAATTGAACTGAAAATATTGTGTCAACAATATATTTCCTACAGTGTAAAGACATCTAAGACGTCGGCAGTATGAATTTTGAAAGTTTTTGCGAAGCAATGGACTGTACATGCTATTAAACATGCATTAGTGGTCAAATCTGGTTACATTTTAAGTAAATGTATATTATTTTAATACATCACTCTACTACGGTAGAAGAGGAACGATAGTTTTTCTTGTATTTCCATTTATTAATGGAATTCACTAATAATGAACATTCCATAGAACAAGTAAAACGAAAAAAAAATTGTAAGTCAATTCCTACTTAGGTCAACAAAGAAAATTTTTTATTTTAGTTACTTTTTTGAATAATTAAAATTAATATAAATATGTACACATATAGGACAGAATCACAATATTAAGTGGCAAAATAGAAAACGATTTTCCATTTTCCTTTCTATATATATTGTTGGACTATTTTTTTATCTTGTTCGTATTTATTCATTAATTAAATTTAATTATTCCAATAAAAAAGTATCGTAAAAAGAAATCACATTCTAAAAATTAGGCCATCCTAGGTGGGATTCGAATCCTCGACCTTTGGATTAGAGGACCAACGCGTTATCCACTGCGCAACAAGGATAATACGAACGGTTTTCCTTTTTACATATGGTGTTGGACTTTTATTTTTGAAACTATTCATTTTTTAACTTTTTAATTTAATTAATGAATTAATATTTGAAAGAACTGAATAAACATCAAGTGTTATCCACTACAAATTCAAAGAAATGTATTGGAAATTGAGTGGATGAATAAAAAGTATTTTATTAATGATTGAAAGTTTGAACAAGACACACATATATATATACATTATCTGGCCAAAAGTATCCGGACACCCAGTGGTATGGACTTAGAGCATTCTGAGGCACATATTAATATGATGTTGGTTCCTCTTTTGCATGGATGACAGCCTGCACACGTTTGGGAAGACTTTCCATCAATTTTTCATAGGTTGCCATAGGAATTGCCTTCCAGGCGTCCATCACAACTAAAGTGAGTTCTTACAGTGAGGATGGTCGATTTGGCTGCCTACGTAATCTACGCTCTAATTCATCTCAAAGCTGTTCTATGGGATTTAGATCGGGGCTCTGAGAAGGCCAGTCCAGTTTTTGAACCCCCATTTGGTCAAACCACGGTTGTGCAAGCCTCGATGTGTGAATGGAGCAGTTATCCTGCTGGAAGAGAAATGGGCCTTCCCCGAAATATTGCTATAGAGTTGGGAGTGCAGCATTGTCCAGAATGTCCATCTAAATCTCAGAGTTCATGTTTCCAATCACAGGAACTAACGGACCCAGGCTAAGCCACGAGAAACACCCCCACACCATTATGCTTCCACCACCAAACTTAACAGTTGGCACAATGCAGTCACTAAAGAAACGTTTGCCGGGCATCCGCCAAACCCAGACGCGTCCATCCGACTGCCAGACTGTAAAGCGAGATTCATCACTCCAAAGAACAGTTTTCCACATGTCCACAGTCCAATGACGGTGAGCTCTACACCATTGCAATCGATGCTTCGCATTCTGTGGAGGGATGTTTGGCTTGTGAGAGGCTGCACGACTATGGAATCCCAAGTTTTTTAACTCTCGAAGGACAGTCCTGCTGCTAACACTAATTCCTGATGAATTTTGGAACTCCTGAGAAATTTCCACCAACGAGGACTTGCGATTTGTTTCACTACCCTTCTCAGAGTTCTGTGGCTGCGTTCACCAAGTATTTTCGGCCTACCAGTTCGTTTTTTTGCCGTTTCACTCTGCTTCGACGTTTCCTCTTCCCAATTACATCATTCACAGTAGATTTAGGCTTCTGTAGAATGTCCGCAATCTCATGAACTGATTTCCCACAAAGATGGCATCTCACTATACTGCCACGATCAAACTCACTAAGCTCCTTTGACTTACTCATTGCCTCACAAACGCATAAATACAATCTGACAAACCACTACCAACACTTTTATAGCTTTCAATTACGTATCAAATTGCGTCACTCACCAGAACCACTTTTTTAATGGGTGTCCGGATACTTTTGGCCAGATAGTGTATATAGGGAGAGTGTGAACTATAATAGTAGGAATTGAATTAAATACATTCCTAATTATTAACACAGTTTTCTTCGAAGAGCTCAGCGCCGTAAGTTCTGATTTGAATTTAAACTGCTTTATATAATTATATCTTAAATAAATATATTTTAAAGTTTTATTTTACCAGTAAATTTAACATATAGCTGCATATTTAGTTCAAAATGATCTCCTTTCGACTTCCCAAGGGCTTTCTTTGACAAATAATCCATTGAGGCACACATTACCTCCATGGGAATTTCCATGTTTATTTTCCCTTAAGAGCATCTAAGACTGTTCTAATTAGGATGCCATTTTTGGTACCCTTTTGCCTCCAATACTGACCACAATTTAGAGTTGAGGGGATTTAAATCCAATTTATTGGAAAGTCAATTTTCGTGTTCTATGACGCATTCTCTTTCAATCACAATTGGGTTGTCTTTCGCCTTATGAACAGGAATTGTACGGGTTCAGTCGCTTCCATTGAACAGATTTATGTTCAGAGGCTACATTATTGGTTCTGTGATAAACTTTTGACATGATTTTCACTCCTTTCTGTCAAAAATAGGCTTTTGAGACTCCTTCATAACTAACACTCCACCAAACCATTGCAGAAGCCGGACGATGAGTTATCTGCCCAAGCATTCTTTTTAACTTTTGGGGCACTCGTTAAAGATACATGGTCATTCTGGTGGTAAAAATATTCTTCAAAATCGAAAGTTTCTCGTAGATAAGCAAAATTCGTCTGTGGTCGTTATGAATGACCAACCGCAGCATTACCTTTGCTCTAAGGTACCTCTGGCGCTTTAAATACTTTTTAAGAAAATGATCCGTTATTTTTCGATAACCTCTTGATCTAAGATCTTCGTTTTATATGTAGAACATTGTTCTTTTTTTGTAAAATACCTGTGTTTAGGAAGAAGAGTCTTTTTTTCGACAAAAGTTTTTACGAGTTCTGACCCTGACAGCTTTCTTACAGAGCTTCGACGACTGCATCTTCAACGGTCTGCATTGCTCTCTCTGATGTGGTCTCAGAAAATTACTTATTAATGCCATAATTGAATAATATTCTAATATTTAAATGTTTAAGAGCCTTAAAAATCACCAATGGGCTTTTCTTTTTTGATTCAGAGAAATACCTGAGGCATGTTTTTGTTGAAAGCGTTGAAGCCCTGACTGATTTAAAACAACACGCGCGTGAAACACAATTATCTGAAAAATATTGCAAACGATTCTCTAACGATGAAATTTAAAATCGTCTGGTGCGTTTGAGTCACAGCAGGTGATCTCAAATTTTTGTATCAGAACTTATGGTACGACTAGTTATATGTGCGTTTTAATTTAAATGGTTTCGATTGCGCGCTTCTGAATTTAATTAGCAAAAGATTAATACCCAAAACTAGATCTTGTCATACTTCAGTGTCATATTTGGGACAACATATTGTGCTAAGTATATACCGTAAAATCCGGCGTACAACGCCCACAAGCTGCACTTTTTAAAATTTTTAAGTATATTCGCCGTATAATGCGCAGCCCCTTTTTTTTACGAACCCTGAACCGTACGTGCACAATGCTTTTATGTTTTGAAGTCCTTTATTCGAGATATTATACCAGACTTATGAAAAAATAATATACTTCTGGAACTACAACCCTTTAAGTTCATAAGGAATGCTATTTCTTTCACATAAACAGTATTTCGATCTGTGTTGAAGCCTTAATTTTTTTTATACTCATCGCTTTTTCATTCTTAAAGCTATCATTTTTATACTCGGTGTATAACACTCACCCATAAATTTCGATTTTATTCTTGGTGTTAAAAGTGCGTGTTATAGTACTGTATATATGTACTAGGTGGTCTAAGAGAAACCGAAATCTTTAATACAATTGACGAAGCAAAAAGCAATAAATTTCGAAGAATACTATTCAGTGAGTTATGCTGCAGATTGACCTTGAACAGAGAGAAAGGGAAAGTGCAGGAAAGGTGGATATGATTTTTTTAGCTGTTAAGTAGTTGGAATAAGACCTAATATCAAGTCATGCACACAGATATGCCACAATAAAGAATGACAGAATATTCCTCATCAAGGAATTGTTTACTTTTATTACAACTAGCATAACTTCGGAAACAGTTTTTAAGCATTTTGCTTTGCGTATAAGACTTCCTGGTTATATTATACAATATCGTTGCAGAAACAAGTTTGCTACAACCATCTGTTGATACAGAAACAATTTTTTGTAGATTAATATCGAATTTAAATTCAACGTATTTTAAAAAATTCTTTAAGATTATGAAAACCAATATATTGTTCTTTTAACGTTATTAGTTCTTTTCGTTCTTTTTTCAATACATTACCTGATTTATACCAAGAATAGACTGCTACTTGTATATTACCATTTTCATAATTGATCTCATCTAAAGCAAATGAATACATTTCAGCATACTTAAAATGTTTATTTATTTGTTAAAAATATCTCTTTTTAATTTTATTACTCCATCTTTAACTGTATTGCGATTTAAGAGCTCATTTATTCGGTTTATAATCCAACGTTTTTCTCTAAAATCTGCAAATAAAGTAGCACTGCATTCACAAAAACTCTAATTCTGAAAAAAGTTTCCCTTGCAAGCATTGCAATGGGCTTCTTACAAACAAGTAGCTAAAATACTATTTTTTGGAATCAAACTCTTTCAGTCACTTTTTTGAGTCATATGAAGGTGCAGTGATATATTCATGATAGAAAATCAATTAAACAACACATTCACTTGTTTTTTTTTTTTTTTTTTTTTTTTTTTGGAAATTCGACATTTGTTATTTATACTTTAATGTTTTAATATTTTCGATTGTCTGTTCACTTTCTTACGATAAAAGATAAGTTAACTATAAAAACAACGTGGGTCAATTAAAATGCTTTCGTGGGTCAGTGTCTGACCCATCGGTCATAGATTCGCCACAACTTTCCCAGAGGGTTGGCTCTTGGGGAGGTTCAATCAATTATTTATTGATGACGAGTAAAAACTTTTCTATCCCAAATGTGTCAAATCCCTTTTTTGTGAACTTGTTTGTGCTTTGTAACAGCCCGTGTAGAGGGGTGTACAGGTGTGTGTAAAAATTAGAAAGAAAATTAAAGCAAGGTTGTGACGGATCTATAAGCGGTTCTAATAACCCTTTCATGACTCCTTTCAGGAAAATATTTATTTCGACCAACTTTCACCGATTAAGGAAGCGTGATTATGTAAATGGAAGCATATTATATAAATTCTGTTTTCGCGAGTTTATGAGTTGTCTCGTTGGAGTTGGCAAGTAGGAGTTAACATAGAGTCTACGAGTTAGTTGTTAGTTGAAGACTGAAAAAGAGTGGAATTAGTTAGAGGTCTTGGAGTTGTCCAGGAAAAAGATTACAGAGTGTGGATCCAACGACATTGATCAAGCTGCTAGAGATCACCTGCAAGTTTCCAATGTAGGATCCGATGCATAAAAAATACAGGTATTGTGAGCTTGATTAAGTAGAAGTTAGCTTATTAGTGTATG